GGGGGGGGGGGGGGGGGGACGCGTTCCGACCGCTCGTGAGTTTTTGTAGCGTTTTTCTGAACCTCGGCGGGCGCCTGATTTGTTTTGGGTGTGTGGCACTGTAACTCAGTATATATTTCGAATTCGAAATTTTTGACGCCGCATTCGTTTTCTCCACCCCAAAATTACCTTGACCTGAAAATTTCAGATCGATCGGAGCACTTTTCAAACCCGGGGATATTTAGCGGCCATCCCCGGGTTTTGCGTTTTCATTTTTTAGCCGCCTGATATAGGTAAAGTGTGTTGAAACCCGGGTAAGATGAACGAGTTTGATTTTCAAATTTTGCACAGCATCATCATTATGGCCAAGGATCATGGGATAATTTTTTCGAAGACAGGGGGGGGGATGGTGACGATCCGTTCCCCCCCCCCCCCAAATAAATTCGGCTTTAGCTCGGAACCCGCCTCGTGTCAGTTGCTAAACCAGACACCACTTGCGTACGACGCGATGTGGTGTACACACACCCTCGACTACACCAGAAGCTCGATTCCTCTGCAACCAAGATACTGCTAAGGTCCTAGAAAGGCTCGTACCGGTATGCCCTTTCTGCACGTAACCCTGACACGACTGTACCCTCCCCGCGGCGAGAAAATCGCAGTGAGCACAGCTCTTCCTAGCGATACCCTCTTGTCTCGATGGATTATGAATCATCAGGGACTATTGTAGGTGAAGCCTGAACGAATGTCGACTCAACACGACCGCAGGCGGAATCATGAGCGTTGAAGGCCCTCCGAAAACAAGCATGGGCCGAGAGCTGTCCAGCTGCGATCTCGGGAGAAGCGTAGCCAAATAGAATCTCTCTCTCTCTCTCTCTCTCTCTCTCTTCTCTCTCTCTCTCTCTCTCTCTCTCTCTCTCTCGCTCTCTCTCACGCTCTCTCTCGCTCTCTCTCTCGCTCTCTCTCTCTTTCTCTCCCTTTCGCTCTCTCTTTTGCTCACACTCTTGCTCGACGGCCGTTCTTGTTGTGCTCAAACTCGCACCACGTTGCCTGTTTCGAGGAGCTGCAGGCAAGGTCCGGCTCTTGTGGATGCAACACCTCGGCACAGGTGTGGGGAGCTTATCGCCCGAAGCTCGTGATAAAATACCGTGTTTGGAGAGAGAGATCTCATCTACTGGCAGATGTTTTCTCGAAATTGAGAGAGAGCGAAACCGTTCGGGTACCACTCAGAACATTCCCAGGGACGGTTGGGTTTCGTATCGGACTCTCGCCTCGATTGTGTCCATACACTGACCGCTCTCCCCGGTTGGTCTAGAAGTTGACCTCGCCCCATAATTAGTAGCTGGTTGTGGGTTCGATTTTCTATGGAGGGTTTGCTTCGGCTTCTTATTGCAGCGGAAATCGGAAAATTCTTCGAGCATTGACTATAGTCTACAGCAGTACGTCTCTACAATCGACGAGAGGGCGACTGAACCTTTTTTAGGATAAGCTCTAAGCCAAGTACAGCAGAAGGAAAGATGCAGCAACAGAATGAAAGAAGTTCCTGTTTGGCATTCCTCGCTGTGGCCCCGGCTGGCTAGCACGTCAAACGTACAAACCGAAATGAACGCGAACTGGCCCCACACTCGACAATATGACAGGAGAATATTTCATGGTCAGCCTGGGCCGGCGGTGAAGGGGTCGGTTTGCACGTATTGCGAAACCTTCTTTACAGCGTGGTGTCTTTTGAGTACAAGGGCTTCGCTGAACCAAACGAAACGCGGTCTGTACAGTGCAATGGATACGGATCGTTCGGCAACATGCATTCATTTCGGTGCACCTGCGGTTTTGTCTTCGTGTTTCCATGAAGATTTGCGGTGCACAAGTTCATACGCGTTTTCATTTGATTCTTTCTTTGACACAGCCGTACCGTGACAGTTGTTAGTACTACGACCAAACGTTTCCATAAGTCCGCTTGTCATGTTTTGCACAATCTTCTTCTTGTCCTTCCGTGCTTTAGCTGGTTTCCGACGGTGAGCATTCACATGTCCTCCCCTGTCGTTTTTTGCCCCTGTTCCTGACGATGAGCTCGTCCTCCAACCGGCAGGTGACGCAAGAAAACCGAGACCGTGAAGGTGGCGCTAGAGGAATGGTCACGCTCGATACGTCCAGAGTGATTTCCCCATCCTCGCCGGACCCACCAGCTTCGAGGGAACGTTCGCCACCGGGTCCTTCGCTCAGCGACTGTGGGGATTGCTCGGGTTCACCACCTATCTGCTCCTTTTCCTTGGTGTCCAACGGCAGCGGTGGAAAGCCTCCCAGCGGCAGCAGCGGTGGTGGTGTCATCGACAACGAAAATGGCGACAACGGCGACAACGGCGAGCGATCACCGCATGCAGGTACGTTCGAGATCAGAAATCGCCCCGAGAATACGTTAGGACGCCTTCCAGTGATCCCTCTTGGCACGCTGTTGGTATTTGTGCGCGATCGATGTCAGAGCCATGATTCTGGTGGAGAGATACAGGAGGAGCTCTGAGGCCTTGGCGAACGCAATACACGAGAGCATCTTGGGATGGCAGAATATGTCCACCCGATGGGGTTTTACTACAGTTTCACCCGACTGCCAACGACGTCCTTTATCACGCTCACGCTGCTGCGTGTTGGACGTGTTTCCCCCTCCCTTGTATCCATCGGCAAGCACTTGTCTCTACTGGGCGTGGTTACCGTTCTTCCACCCTGATGTGTAGGGAATCTACAGGTATTTTTGCACCTTGTCGTTAGCGACCGCGACCTCTCTGTCTCTCTGTCTGTCTCTGTCTCTCATTCTCTGTCTCTCTGTCTGGCTCTCTCTCTCTGTCTCTATATATTTCTCTGTCTCTCTGTCTCTCTGTCTCTCGTCATGCGCCGCCACCCCCATTGCCCGGCAGCCCTTGGAGCAGCGACGAACCCTCAGGAAACACGAAATATTTCTCAACCGTTTGGCATGCATGCTCCAAACAGCCGCCCTGCAACCTTCTTTAGTTCGTTCGTGGTGGCTCAATCTTGAGGAAATTCTTGTACACGTGACCTGCGACACGCTTCAGTGCAAGGGACTGCACGGGTTTGTTGTACACCATTGTGCCGGTCATAACTCGTCGTGCACAATCGATGATTGCGTTGTACTTGAATGGGAACGAGTCAGCGAGGAGTGCCGACGTTCTGTTTGACCCGGGCATGGTGGAATTACCTGCACAGATGCGAGCTCTATGCTTCTTCTCCAGAACCGTATGCAGGACCGGCTAGCCATGTAGAGTTCGGGACGAGGCTCCCTTTCGCATGTCATTGCTTGGCATGGTCGTGCTGTTGCGTGATCTTGGCGCAACATGAACTCACCTGTGATCTGGGCAAGCTCCGTGGATAACTAGTGTTGTAAAGTTTGAGCCAGGTGGTCGTGGTCGCGATTCTCAAACATGGTGAATGAGTCCGTCTCCTTTGCACAGTCATTAAACTACTTTTGTCTTGTCCACTCCTTTGCCGCGTGTTTCGGCGACGAAGTTCAGGCGGGAGTCGTTGTCTTGACGCCTTCGCTATCACCTTGCATCAAGCTTACGGCGGGAGGGGGGGGGCACTGGTACAAGTCTACGCTGCAGCTACAATGTGTGAGCTTGGCGCTATGCTCCGCGTGCCGAAGTGTCCCGACCTTGCACGTGCGTATCGATGGTCAGGCGCCCCACAGTTTGTGGGATCCGAATGTTCGCACCTCGAGCCGTGTGCCGGTCGTGTTGGCGCTCCGTTTGACATGGGTGTGTGGCCGGATGAATGATTTTGTTCTGGATACAGGCGATAGGCAGTGGAAGGTTTTGGAGGTGCTGCGCCTGGAGAGGTTCAAGAGCAGATCGCGCCCACATCGGCCGAAACCAAGGCTGGTGTTTGACCAAGAGGAGTCTTCTTTTTTGTCATCGACGGCATGGCCGCCTTCCCTGCGACAACTTGAGTTTGGGGATGGGTTCACCGTACGGATCGCCACGCTCAAAGGTCCGCCCTCCCTGGAACAGCTGTCGATTGGGCATTGGTGCGACGAGCATATTGCCAGGGTCGGTTGGCCGATGTCTCTGCAGCAGGTATTTTTCAGTGGAAACTTCGATCAGCCCATCGCCGGGGTCGCGTGGCCAACCTCCTTGCGGGTGCTGTCGTTCGGGGAAAAGTTCAATCAGCCCATCGCCGAAGTCATGTGGCCGGCCTCCCTGCAGCAGCTTTCGTTCGGAGGTTCGTTCAATCAGCCCATCGCCGGAGTCGTGTGGCCGGCCTCCCTGCAGGAGCTTTCCTTCGGACATGGATTCAACCAGCCCATTGCTAGTGTCGTATGGCCGGCCTCACTTCGGCAGCTTTAGTTCGGGAATAGGTTCCACAGCCCTATCGCCCTAGTACTGTGGCCGGTCTGTCTGCAGCAGATTTCGTTCGGAGATTCTTTCAATCAAAGCATCGCCGAAGTCGTGTGGCCGGCCTCATTGAAGCAGCTATCGCTCGGCCGGTGTTTTGACCAGCCTATCTCGGGGGTCACATGGCCGACCTCCCTGCAGCAGCTTTCCTTTGGCTGGTCGTTTCGACAGTCCATCGTTGGAGTAGTTTGGCCAGCCTCACTGCGGCAGCTATCGTTCGGGTGCCAATTCGACCGACCTATCGCCGAAGTCGAATGGTCGTCCTCCCTTCGGCATCTTTCGTTCAGTGTGTGTCTCAACCAGCCCATCGCCACAGTCGCATGGTCGGCCTCCTTGCAGCAGCTGTCGTGCGGATACTGGTTCTACCAGCCCATCGCCCAAGTCGAATGACCGAACTCCCTGCAGCAGCTTTCGTTCGGGGATCATTCGACTATCCTGTCGCTGACGTTGTATAGCCATCTTCCCGGCAACGCTTGTCGTTTGGGGACGGCTTCAACCAGCCCATCGCTGAAGTTCTATGGCCGGCTTCCTTGCAGGAGCTTCATTTGGGGATTGGTTGTACTACCCTATCGACGAGGTCATATGGCCATCTTCCCTTCAACGCCAGTCGTTTGGAAACGACTTTAACCAGCCCACCACCAGCGTGGTGTGGCCAAACTCCTTACGGCGGGCTTTCGTTCGGGAAACGGTTTTCCCAGCGTGCAGATGGAGTCGTGTGGCCGGTCTCCCTTTAGACGGTAACGCGGATAGGGGTTTCTCTGCTGTAATTGCGCAATCATCGTGTTTCTCGGGCGTCGTTGCTGTGAAAACGTGGAAAGGCTAGGGATCAAGAGCAATGTTCCTGACCATGAGGACCACACGAAGGTTCGCCAAGCTACGGTTGCACCTGCGCCTCAAGTTTTTTCACTTCTGAACATCCTGGTTTTCAAGAAGCAGGACGACCTTCCCATAGATTGATAGTCTACACCTTTGGCCACAATATGGGACCCTACGCAACTCAGCGTTTTCAGTACCACGACACGGTCGTCAAATTGGTAATATTCTGCGTCATCCCAAAGGAAAATGGTATGGGTCGATGAGGAGAGTGAGGTTCATCCGCGGAAACACGGTCTCGACGTGTCCCCTCGTTCATTCCTGCGTACATTCATATACACGGAAACGGAAGAAAGCGCTATTTCATGTTACGTCATAACACGCAATATGTACCCCGCAAGCAACACCGTTGGTGTCCCACGAGCCACGGCTATTCAGCAACACCAGGACAGTACAAGCGGTGGTAGGTTAATTGAGGAGAGAGCAATACGAAATCCTTTTCATGTTTCTCATGTCGTACGGGCCGCTCCCCCAAACTTCTCCCCTGGTAGAGTCCAATCTGGCCAATCTTGCGTTCATATCTTCTCCTCTAAAGAACACGGCGTTCAAGTCGATCACAGTACCGTCGGTGTGCAGTCCTTGTGCCCCTGGCCCTGTTCTCTGACACAAAATATGTCACGCGCTTGCTGTGCCTCACGTTGAAGTTCTGTGCAATATTCTTCTTGCCCATCGCACCCTTACGCCGTTGCGGCCGTGGCTTTTGACCTACGCGCGCCACAATGTATAGCTCAGGATTCAGGGCACGATTTTCCCATAACTAGCTAATTCTATGGTTCACCTGTTAATCAGAGGAGGTTTGCTGTTTGTCGTCCGTGTCCGGCGGCGTCGGTCAATCGGCAAGGTTGAGAAGTTGGTCGTTCTGCTGCGGACCTCCGGTGGAACACACCTGGCCTCGCAGTGTGTGCGAGTGTCTTTATTACATTCAACAGTCTTAGCATCGGCCACGCTTAGCCGCCTGAGCAATGTAACGGCGTCAGTCCCAGCGCTAACAAAAACAGAACGTGATTCTAAGGGCCTGTAGACTATGTTCTGCGGACTTCAAGGCAGGAGCAACGGCGGCAACTGAGGAAGAGAAAAATACACGTGTCTGCACCGAGGCTGGTACTTTCTACTTGTCGTGGTCATTCTGGCTCCCCCCGTTGGCTCCTATCATACGCCCTCCTTGCGACCACCACTCTCTTCGCTTGTTTCTCAACCACTCACACCTTTGGGTTGATATTTGTTTTGCCGGCTTCCTTGTAGCGTGGACGATCGGCTAGGTCGAAAATAGTACTCTCTTCTAGACTATGCCAACCTCTCTTCCTTCTTCGTTCCTGTTTCCAATCGTCTATAATTTCCCACTTCCTCCTCTGTCTCATCCAAGCCAGCGTAATCCTGGTTTTCGCCAGCAGCACAACGTCGTTTTCGTCAACCTCCTCGTTTCATGTCCTTTCCTCGTTCATTTCCGACCAACTAATGCGTGGGTGTTGTCCCATGTTTACTGGTCAAATGCGAACAACCGTCAAAGACAAGGTGTATCGCTCTGAGATAACGAGGGAAGTCGTTGTCCTTCTTGAAAAGCCGAGATATTCAGAAGAAAAAATATGTACCATCGAGAAAACGCCCTCCCTCCCAGCCCAGATGTACCTCCCCCCCGCCCCCGTCGACAAAATTTCACCCAAGTTTTTGCACTCCTACTCAAGCACATTCGATGAAACACTCGAGGAGCAGGTGCAACGGTATCTTGGCGAACCTTCGTGTGGTTCCTCATGTTCAGGAACAATGCGTTCGACCCCTAGCTATTCCCTGTCTCCACGGTTTTCACCAATAGCGACCCCACGCTCGAGGAAAAACAACGATACTTGCGCCACTACAACAGGGAAACCCCTATCCGCGTTACCGTTTGAAGGGAGACCGGCCACACGACTTCATCTGTCCGCTGGGAAAACCTTTTCCCAAACGAAAGCTTCCGCAAGGAGCTTGGCCACACCACACTGGTGATGGGCTGGTTGAAGTCGTCCCCAAACGACAGGCGTCGCAGGGAAGATGGCCATACGACTTGGTCGATAGGGTAGTCGAACCAATCCCCAAACGAAAGCCCCTGCAAGAAAGCCGGCCATAAAACTTCGGCGATGGGCTGATGGAATCTGTCTCCGAACGAAAGCTGCTGCAAGGAGGCCGGCCATGCGACTGTGGCGATGGGCTGGTTGAAACACACGCCGAACGAAAGATGCCGAAGGGAGGCCGGCCATTCGACTTCGGCGATAGGTCGGTCGAATTGGCCCCCGAACGATAGCTGCCGCAGTGAGGCTGGCCAAACTACTCCAACGATGGACTGTCGAAACGACCAGCCGAAGGAAAGCTGCTGCAGGGAGGTCGGCCATGTGACCCCCGAGATAGGCTGGTCAAAACACCGGCCGAGCGATAGCTGCTTCAATGAGGCCGGCCACACGACTTCGGCGATGCTTTGATTGAAAGAATCTCCGAACGAAATCTGCTGCAGACAGACCGGCCACAGTACTAGGGCCAGAGGGTTGTTGAACCTATTCCCGAACGAAAGCTGCCGAAGTGAGGCCGGCCATACGACTTCGGCGATGGGCTGGTTGAATCCATGTCCGAAGGAAAGCTCCTGCAGGGAGGACGGCCACATGACTCCGGTGATGAGCCAGTTGAACGAACCTCCGAACGAAAGCTGTTGAAGGGAGGCCGGCCACACGACCCCGGCGATGGGCTGATTGAACGAACCTCCGAACGAAAGCTTCTTCAGGGATACGGGCCACATGACTTCGGCGATGGGCTGATTGAACCGTTCCCCGAACGACAGCTGCTGCAGGGAGGCCGGCCACATGACTTCGGCGATGGGCTGATCGAAGTTTCCACTGAAAAATACCTGCTGCAGAGACATCGGCCAACCGACCCTGGCAATATGCTCGTCGCACCAATGCCCAATCGACAGCTGTTCCAGGGAGGGCGGACCTTTGAGCGTGGCGATCCGTACGGTGAACCCATCCCCAAACTCAAGTTGTCGCAGGGAAGGCGGCCATGCCGTCGATGACAAAAAAGAAGACTCCTCTTGGTCAAACACCAGCCTTGGTTTCGGCCGATGTGGGCGCGACCTGCTCTTGAACCTCTCCAGGCGCAGCACCTCCAAAAACTTCCACTGCCTATCGCCTGTATCCAGAACAAAATCATTCATCCGGCCATACACCCACGTCAAACGGAGCCCCAACACGACCGGCACACGGCTCGAGGTGCGAACATTCGGATCCCACAAGCTGTGGGGCGTCTGATCATCGATACGCACGTGCCAGGTCGGGACACTTCGGCACGCGGAGCATAGCGCCAAGCACACACATTGCAGCTGCAGCGTAGACTTGTACCAGTGCCCCCTCCTCCCGCCGTAAGCTTGGTGCAAGGTGATGGCGAAGGCGTCAAGACAACGAGACCCGCCTGCACTTCGTCGGCGATCCAGACGGAAAAGGGTGGACAAAACAAACGTAAACTAATGACTGTGCAAAGGAGACAGGTTCATTCACCAGACGAAATACTGCCTCAAACTTTACAACACCACCTCATCGATGGAGCTTGTCCAAATCAGAGGTGAATTCACGTTGCTCCAAGAGTAAGCCTAAGCACTACCACGCCAGGTAATGATGCAAAAGGAGGCAAAAAACATGCAGCGATGTCGTGGCAAGACAAAGACTCGTCCCGAACTCTACATGGCTAGCCAGTCCTGCACACGGGGCTGAAGAAGCAAAGCTTGGATCTGCGCAAGTGCATTTCCACCATGCCCGGGTTAAACAAGACGTCGTTAAGGCACTCCTCGTTGACCCATTCCCGTTCATTTACAACGTAAGCTCGATGTGCAAAGCGAATATTGACCAGGACAATGATGTCAATAAAAGCGTGCAGTCTCCTGCACCACAGCGTGTCTCAGGTACACAAGAGCTTCCTCAATATTACTACAAGTACGTCACACGGGTTCTGAATCTGGCAGGAAGGCTACTTTTTGAGCATACATGCCAAAAGATTGAGAATCTACTTCCTGAGGGTTTGTTTTCCTGAGAGAGTGATGGCTAACGACTAGGTACACAAAACATTGTGGACGTACTACACATCATGGTAGCAGAGCGACAACCATGTCCAGCAGAGACAGTTGCTTGCTGATGGACGAAAGAGGGGCAACACGCCCACCACGCAGCAACATGGGAGTGAGAAAGGACGTCGTTGGCAATCGGGTGGAACTTCAAGAAATCCCCCAATCAGGAGAACGTATTTTCTGCTACCCCAAGATTGTCTCGTGATTGCGTCCACCAAGGCCTCAGAACTCCTCCTGTGTCTCGTCACCAAGGTCATGGCTCTGACAAACGTCGGTCGCGCACAAATACTATCTAACAGCTTGCCAAAAGGAATCACGGGAAGGCAATGCTAACGTATTCTCGAGGCGATTTCTATACTCGAATGTACCTGGATGCGGTGATCGCTTGCCAGTGTTGGCGCTTTCGTTGTCGATGACACCACCACCGCTGCTGCCGGTTGGAGGCTTTCCACCGCTGCCGTCGGACACCAATGAAGAGGTGCCGATAGGTGGTGAGCCCCAGCAACCCCCACAGTCGCTGGGTGAAGGACCGGGAGGCGAACGTTCCCTCGAAGCTGGTGGGTCTGGTGAGGATGGGGCGATCATTCTGGACGTGTCGAGCGTGACCATTGCTCTAGCGTCACTTTCACGGTCTCGGTTTCTGGCATTCCCTGGAATTTGAAGGACGAGCTCATCTGGAACAGGGGCAATAACCAAGAGGGCACACATGTGAATGCACACCGTCTGAAACCAGCTAAGGCACGGAGGGACAAGGAGAAGACTGTGAACAACATGCCCAGTGGGCACACGGAAATGTTTCCTCGTGGTACTGCATAACAACTGACACGGTGCTGTGAACGGCTGTGCTAAAGAAGGTAGCAAATGAAAAACCGTACGAACTTGTGCCGCAAGCCTTCATGGAAACACGAAGCCACAGACTGCAGGTCCAGACTTTGTTTGATGTTCTGCGACTATCCTCTCACAGGGATTCCTTCCGGTTCGGTTGTATGGTCGGTTTCGTAAGCCGCCATGCACCGAGATGTATGAATGTTGCCCAACGATCCATGTCCACTGCACTGTGCAGACAGCGTTTCCGTTTCCATTTATTAGCGAAGCGCTCGTATTAAAAAAACTACACTGCTGTAACGAAGGTTTCCAACAAACGCTGGAAAACACACCCCTTCACCGCCGACCCAGGCTGGCCACAAAATATTCTCTTGTGACAGCTTGTCGAATTTGTGTGTATGGATGTTTGCCCCACAAAATGTGGCGCCAGTTCACGTTCATTTCGATTTATATGTTTGACGTCCCAGCCAGCCGGGGTCACACAGAGGAAAGCCACACAGGAACTTTTTGTCTTTTTTTGCTCCACCTTTCCTTCTGCCGTACTTGCCTTAGTGATAACGCTTAAAAGGATCCCTCCGCCCCTTCCCGACGTCGACCGTAACGTCGAACTGTTCATAGTCTAAGCTCACAGAATTTTCCGATTTCTGCTGCAAAGTGCAGGCAAAGAAACCCTCCACAGAAAAAATCGGACCCTCAACCAGGTACTAAATATGTTGCGAGTTTAACCTCTATACCAACCGAAATGAACTGACCGGTCAGTGTATGTATGGACACAATCGAATCGAGAGTCCCATATGTAAACCAACCCTACCTGGGAGGGTTCTGAGTGGTACCCCAACGGTTTTCCCTCTCTCTCAATGTCGAGAAAATATCTACTAGATGAGGGCCACGTCGACCACTCTCTCCAAACACCGTATTTTATGACGAGCTTCGGGAGAAAAGCGGCCCACGCCTATGCCGAGGTGTTGCATCTACAAGAGTTGGACCTTGTCTACAGCTCCGCAAAACAGGGAACGCAGTGCGAGCTTGAGCTGCAGACTGTTGAGCACAACAGATTTAAGTCAAGAACGGCGGTCGAGCTAGAGTGCAAACACGAAAGAGAGGGAGAGAGAGAGAGAGAGAGAGAGAGAGAGAGAGAGAGAGAGAGAAAGGGAGGAGAGTTTCCGCTGAGCCACGCTTCTCACGAGGTCGTAGCTGTACGGCTCTCGGCCCATGTTTGTTTTCGGAAGGACTCCAATGCTTATGAACCCCACCAGCGGTCGTTTTGAGTCAACATTCGTTCACGCTTCACCTTCAATAGTCCGTGATGATTCAGTGTCCATCGCGACACGAGGGTATCGCTAGGAAGAGCTGCGATTTTCTCGCCGCGGGGAGGGTACAGTCGCGTCAGGGTTACGTGCAGAAGGGGTAGACCGGTACGAGCCTTTCTGAAAACCTTGGCAGTCTCTTGGTTGTGGAGGAATCGAGCTTGAGATGAAGTCGAGGGTGTGTGTACACCACCCCTCGCGCCGTACGCAAGCGTGGTGTCTGGAATGGTTGGACTCGCTCACTGGCGATCGCCACGAGGCGGGTTTTCGAGGCAGTCTGAAAATTGGAGGTATGCTACAGTTAGGGGTGCCACTCGGGCCTATTTTGGCGGCAAAAAAGTGACCGGCGGTCTATGCGAGGATTTTGGGAAAAAAAGGGGGGGCACGCGGATTGTTGGTTCTCAGCTCGGCTCTTGAAATCATACCGATCAAAGTATACTTTATCCTCCGAATGTTTGTTCAAGAGTCCCTGCGTCCAGGAAGCGATCTGGCTCTTCATACGTTACACACATCTGGAGACAGGTCATCTACACGTGACTGCGGGTTCGTTTTCTACTGACGTTCAAAGGGCGGGCGAACAACACAGAAAACCCTATGAAATCCGGTTTGAAGGCTAACGCTCGTGGCCGCGTTTGGTGATCGTAGAACAGCGGATCCGCAGCGCACAGCCTCGGGTTTTCAGCGACACAACGCAAGAAACCGAACTAGAATCGCACAAACTACCAGCGAGAACCGCATGTCTGAAACTATGGCCAGTCAAGCACGCCAAGCACCGCGGTCGAGGTCCCCCAAAAACGCAAACGCTCGGCCTTCGGCGCGGGAGGAAAAAATCGATTTCGTCGCAACCTCAAGAAAAACGAACGCAAATACATAGAGCGGGAGGGGCGGACCTTTGCCGACGCGGCCGGAGCAGCGCACACACAGCGCGCGGTCGAAAGGGGCGGTGTTGCCGTCGCGCAGAAAGCGCTGGTAGAAAAGGAGCAGGAGTTGATCGAAAGTAGACAGCGCGAGGCGGCGAGCGCCGCTGGGTGCAGCATTGCTCAGGAGCGTTCTATGTGATTTGATTGGCTCGAGCGATTTTCCATCTGGAAGATCCAGGTCACTTTTTGAATTTTTTTCCTATAGGAAATTTGACCGATTGGCACCCCTAACAGTATACACCTATGCACAACATTGATGTCTACATATCCCCCCTCCGGGTTGCGGGCAATTCGCATGGACCTCCCTTTTAGACTATCACACCCTAGAATGCTCGGAAACCCGCGTCCGCACTCGGTAATGAATAGAAGTACTATGTGACCAGCTTATTGGTTGGGCGGTGAGCAAAAAGAATTACCTCTCTTTTCCCATGTTCTTGAAATTGGACAAGAAAATAAAAAAAAGTTGGCGAGACGGACCCTCTGCCCCGATATCCAACGTAAGTAATGCGTATACTGTCAAACCTCAGGCTTGAAGCCCGTGCGCCCTCTTCGGTAGCGTCAACCAACGTGGGCCCGACGTTGTGGTCGTCGCATACTGCACTTCTCAGCCAACAAAAAGGCAAGGATGAACTTTCACCTCTTCCCTTCTTGGACATACCGTAGCAGGCTGGGACCTTCGAATGTGGCCGACCGTGCACACACGTTCATTCCCGCATCTTACCTGCGTCGGTGCAGTGAGACTGTCGGCCAAGCAATGGGCGTGAGCAACTCGTCCCCATGGCGGCCCGAGAGTTGGAAGAGAATTTTCGCCGGGGTAGTCTAAGCTTTTGGTACGATATTCCGCCGAGGGTTGACCTACGAGGACCCCTCCTGCGCAAGCGTACAGCAGTGGTGCAACGGGAAACTTTGAGAGAGGTGGCGGCTGACGGGCAGCGATAGAGGGGAGGTGCTGTGTGCCGGGAAGAGCAATCGTGTTCTTGCGAGGATGGTACTCTACACGAGAGGTCCGCGGCACTGCACGATTGTCCCACGAGCTTGTCCTAGCGTGCCCCGTTTCAGGGAAGAGGCGTTGCTGCTTGTCATTCATGTCTATAACGGCGTCGGCCAATCAAAGAGGTTGACGATGGTCATCCCTGCCCCAGACCCCGGACCTCTCTCGTGTAGAGTACCATCGCAAAGACATTTGCTCTTCCCGGTACCGAACGCCTGTCCCCTCTATCGCTGCCCGTCACCCGCCACCTCTTCCAAAGTTTCCCGTCGCACCGCAGCTAGCTAGTGTAGCACTGGGGTTCCTCATAGGTCAGCCGGCGGCGGAATATCGCAGCTTTCGGCGAAATCTCTCTTCCAACTTTTCGGGCCGCGATGGGGGCGAGTTGCTCACACCCGTCACTTGGGCAGCGGTCTCACTACACAAATACCGGTAAGATTCGGGAGTGAGGTTGCGCGCGGTCGCCACTTTCGATATGATGCGTTTCTGCTACGTGCAAGAGGACAAGGGTAGACGAAGTGCAAAACGCTTGCCTACATTTTGGTGGTGGCGTGGTGTGTGGAGAAGTCAGCGTTCAGCAACCCCCGGCGGTTGCAAATACAGTAGCGGCTACGGTTTAAGAGAACTTATTTAAGAGAAAGTACGGATTCAAGAGAGAGGAATTGGCTTGTACCAATCAAAATCGATTTAAGAGAAATTTCCTATTGCAGCTGGGATTTTTCTCTTAAATCGAACAATATGGAAACCACGTGGACACCCACACACATCACACACCCACACAGCTGCAGACACCATGCCCTGCGCGGCGGGCAGTCGCTGCACGGCTGTCCCCGATCACACGCCAGGCCCGCCGGCGTTCACAAATCACCAATGTAGAGGAGTCTGCGGGCAGTACCTCCATGGCACCTGTGGTGTGGTGGACCCTCAGGGCACCTCCGAGATGCATCGCATCTGCCACAACTGCCTGTCCTCCCGTTGGTTTCTTGGGTTTGTGTTATTTGTACGGCGAGTGATGTTTTGATATTGTGAAGCTCTTTTTTTTTCGTTGACTTGTGTTTTTGTCGGGGGTTTAAATCGATGGGATGAGAGGTATGAGGGTGTTATGTTGAGGGTACGGTGGGAGGAAGGGGTGCATTGTGTAAACGGGTGCGTCGTTCTTGAGTGCTGGTGCATTCGTTGCCTCGTGTTGTCCTTCTAGAAGAGGTGCGACTATGAAACACAGCTATAAAACAACTCAACCAAAAACCTTTTACGTGTCCACGTGCAAAATGTGCATCGCATCACACAACGATGATTTATTTTCCGAACGCAGATCCACCAAAAGCGTACCACGTACAGCAGTACTTGGGTCCACGTGCTTGCCAACCAAGAGAATGAGCGGTGTTTGGAGGTAGCCCGACGTGGTAACGCTAGCTGCGCAAGTGACATGCATGATACGCTCTCTTCATGACCTATTTTGGCATTCGAGTGTAGTCAGTGCGCGAGAGTCCCTGTTTCACG